CGCACAATTATGGAGCATCAGGCTTTTTTTGGAAATCATGCCCAAGGTTTGTTCCATTATTGCTATATTGCCAAAAAGCCCTTTGATTTCAAAGGCTCTGCTAACAGTAGCAGTGAGAGGTTGATAGTCCATTTGCCTAGGTTTGGATCATGATTTCTTCGTCTTTGTTAGAGCTTCTTGCTTCTTGTCTGAGAAGTGATGGAGGTTCTTGCCAGTCATAGAAAGGCTTTACCTGAGCTGTTTCCCTGCTTAAATGGCTTGTTTGTCCCACCAGTCAGTCTCTCCTGCTGATTTCACTCATTGTGGATCACTTGCAAAGTCTGTTGCCTTTCAGTGGGTGGCACTTACCAAGGCAGTGTTCTGCAAAGAGTGGTGTGACTAAACCCGCTCATGGCTGGTTATTATAAGTACATTTTTCTTGTACTCCAGACTTTCTGTGACCAACATTTCAATTCACTCGTAGCCAGCGTATTACTGCATGTCTTTGGGATGGTTTTTCTTCTTATGGAAGATTCTGGTAGAAGTGAGGAAGCATTACACACCATGGTGGCTGAGTTCCCTTCCTTTTAAATGTGGGGTTTTTTTAGAGGAGACATGTCGTACATTCCAAATATCTCTTCAAAATTCCTATAAGCCGGATTTATCAGAGCTAGATTTATCAGTGCCTTTCTGTCTTTCTTTGTGGTACCTTGAGCCTTGTGCATCAGGGATCAAATTATACTTCATGCCCCTGGGGTGAATAAGCCCTCTGTTTATATTCATGGGGCCAGATATTTCAAATGATCCTGGATCATTTTCTCTGGCTTTCCAGCTGACTCTGTGTGAAGGCTATGCAGAGATGGTGGAAGGGGCAGCTGTCCATGCTAGGCTCTGTTCCAGGACCACTGAGCTGCAGCAGCCCTCTGTTACCCGAGCTCAGAGCACTCAGGGCTTTGCTGAGAAATGCACCTGTGTCTGAACTGATCAGGCAGCTATCTGGGTTTCCATACTTATCTCCCTCAAGCATTTCACTGATGCAGAGGCATCTGGAACCAGATTAAATATATGGAGAAGTTTCTTCACTGAAAGCATGGTTTATCACTAGAACAGGCTCCCCACAGCACCAAACCTGTCAGTTCAAGGAGCGTTTGCAGGAGGCTCTTTGTTCTGTGATTTAGTGTTAGGTGATCCTGTGAGGAGCAGGGAGTTGGACTTGATGATCCTTATGGGTCCCTTTCAGCTTGAGATATTCTCTGATTCTGTAAGAACTTTGTTAAGCAGTCCTCAGATTGCTGCTTCAGGAAGGTTTCTAAATGCATCCAGGCAGCTGTATGCTCACTCTGTGAGTATGCATGTGCAGTGGAGAGTAAAGGTTACCTTCAAGAAAGTAAACTGAAGGGGTTTTTTTAAACAAACATTCCATACGTACCTGCAGTTCTTATTTCTTCTCTCTGTCTCACGATCCTTTCAGTATTATAGCATTATGCCTAGAGTTGGTGGTTGAAAGGTAACACTAGGTATGCCTTGACCCATGTTTTCATTACCATCTTGTGTTGTCTGTCCATCGTGGACACTGAGACTCAAAAAAGATGAGTCTGGCCAAGAGCTGTAGAATATATATATATATATATATGCCTATGGTATCAAATGTGCCTGCAGACCACAACTTGAACAGCCGTTATCTCTGTTCGGTGACTTCATCATGTCTGTCCTTCCTGGGTGCTGCAGGAGCTTCTTGAGGACAATCCAGCCTGGACACTGCAGCGGAAAAGAAGTAACTGGATACTGTTTGAAACTGGCTTAATCCAGCCTGGTTGGACTGTCACTGCAAAGTACCATCCTTCCACAGTCCCTTCCTGCCCCATCTCCCCCCTTCCTGTCATTTGTTCTTTCCTCTCCTTAGTATATGCTTCTGTGCTTTGGTGGCTTTGCAGTTAGCTGGATTAGCTCACTGATTTTCTTTAAAACTAACCCCGAAGAAAGAAATTCATGAGTTTTCTAGACAGCAGAATAGGAAATGAAGGAATATGCAATGTAGGAATGGGCACAGTTATTGACTGCACCTTTTAAAATACATATTATTGTAAAGTATTCTTCCTTGTTTAAGATTACTAGGTATTGCCATGAAATCTGCACATCTGTGTGTTTGAATTTCTGTAATTCTGTAATTCTGCATTGCAAGTGAAATTAAGTGAATGAGAAATTCAGCAAGCAAGCAAGAACTTCTGTGAGTTATCCAAGGGTGAAAGAGAACATTGCAAGGCCTTAAAGTGAGCTTTTCACATGGACAAACAAACAAGTGAACTTCTCTGGAAACTGTAGAATTTGCAGTGATCCAGCCAGTCTCCTCACCCACAAATTCTGCCTTCAGTGTGCAGACACATATGTTTGATTTATTTTTGATTGACAAAACAATGCAAGAGCCAAATGAATTAAAACTGAAGCTACGTTCTGAACTTTGGTGTTTCATCACGTGCCAGCAATCCAGAGTGCTTTGCCATGTTGTTCAAGAGAACACTATCATCAGCAGTAATAATAATTTCAGAGTAATTAAACTAAACTATCTCTATGCATCTAAATAAACAAATAGATTGTGGTTCTGTAGAATGTGCATGTGTGCCAAGTGTGAGACTTGGCTAGTTGTTGAAATTGAGATGCTTTTAATGTAGAAGCATTCTGCTTCATTTAGTATCAGCTCCCAACTTCAGGCTTGCAAGAGACTCTGGTACCTTAGTAGTATATTTTTTACTTCAATGTCTTTTAGATGCTTTCATATAGATATAGTTCTTGATTTACCTAGTATTTTTAACTGTTTTACAGTCAGAGGTATTTAAAGAAAAATGCTATTAGGTTGTCATTCATTTTCTCCAACCTGATGTACCAACTGAGTAACATGTATGCTGATGACCAGTAAGAATTGTCATAAAATTCTGCACATAAGAAATGTGTAGTTCAGAAGTGATGGACAGTCTCTCTCACAAACTGTCTTAATACTTTTTTTTTTTTTTTAATAAACTGTTGGTGTGTTTCAAGATTGAAGCTGATTTTTTTGTGACTTGGTTTTTAAAGTGGATGCAAATGCAAATTGTGCAGTGTGTCTAGAGGGAGGAGTTAAGTGCTCAGTTACTTTAAAGGATGAGAATTTTTGTGGTTGGGAGAATTTGTTTATGCATGCCAGATGACGTGGGGTTGACAGAGGACCACAACTGCAGCTAGTCAGGCAAAACAGAATTCAAGTGTGAATATTCTAAGTCCTCCCCTTTAGGCATAGAAAACTAGTCAGCACTCACCCTTGGCAGAAGTTTGCACATAAGCAAACATTAACACAGTGCAGTGAGTATTTGGAGTGGCACTGCAGTGTTACAGCTTTCTCTGAGAAGGTGACAGCAGTGAGGAGCAATAGCAGTGACAACCCTCTCTCTTCATCAGTGAGCTTCAAAGGACTTGGAAGAAAGGACTGGTTCTCCTGCTTCTGCTTCTCAGAGCTGGAAAAGGAGGTCATGCTGTAATGGCTTGGACAGAAATGGCTTTTGTACATTTTATGACAGACTGTCAGTGAAACCCTTTATCCTGCTGGAAAATACCGGTTCAAGGGAAGCAGAATGCTTTGCAGAAGCATGTTGCATGTGCTGAAAATTTGGTTCATGTGAAAGTAGTTTTGAGAACATTTCGGTTTTATATTTCAATATTACTTTATTTCAGTTTTGGTAAGAAATTTAATAAAGACAGGGACAAATTTTTTTTTTCTTTTTTTTCTTTTGGAGATTTTAATTTAATAAATCTGAAAGGTTTTAGAGCCTGGTTTCTTTGTTTTGGATTTCTTGAGAGTTGGGTAAATTTTTTTTTTTTTTAAGTTTCTCATAAACTCAAACTAAAATATTTTGATTTATTTTCCAACGGAAAAACATTCACAGTTGTGAAATGAGCCTTAAAATAAACAAACAAATAACTATACAGCTCTGCTGTTAAGTTCCAGTATCATGTTCACTGTTTCTCCCCTGTTTCTTTGCTGTGGGAAGACAATAATTTATATCAGCTGTTCCTCCTGGGATGCTGTGTTTTTTCCAATGCAACTTGTGAATCAAAAAGGGTAGAACTGGGGCTCTGCTGCCCTTGTCCTCTGAGACCCTGTCTTGCCCCACTAATAGACAAAGCATTTGGCAGGGAGGTAACAACTACTCTCCCCTCAGTGACTGGAGTGCAGATCTGTAGGGGGGCTAGGTGAGAATGAGAACAAATCTTACAGCACAGACCAAAGTCTATCCGAGCAGCTGTTGCCCTGTGCAGACTGCAAAGGGACCTAGAGGTAATTTCATCTCAGTGCAAAGTTGTTCCTTGTTCAGCATAGACAAAAGTGCTTAGAATCGAACTGTGGGGATGCTGGTTATCTGTTCATGTTGCTTTAAAACAAGAGAGCCTTCCATACCCTGATGATTGCCTACGGGTAAAATGGATGATGAGTTTTGTAATAATTATTTTTTAGGCAGTGCATCTGTCTTACTCCCTCTTTCTCTACATTTGTCTCTAAATGTGAATCGTCAGCTTTTAGATGCTTTGTACTCTCTTAACTTGGTCCCTGACAACTGCTACTTTGAGAAAGGTCAAGGAAGGCAAACACATCTTCATTTTTAAAAGTATGATTATTCTGTTTTTAAAAAAATGCATTTTTTTGCAGCATCTAATAAAGAAAGACCCCACAAAGTGGATGAATTGCAAGATTTAAAAGTTCAAATGTGGTGGGAGAGGGCTTCTTGTAGGGAGTTTGTGATTGCATTGGTGTTTGGAAGAAGTGCAGGTAGGATTTTCTTCTCCATAGTTAACAGTATCTCTAAAGAAAATAAAAATTGTTGCAAAACCTAAACATAGGTTTTTTTGGTAAGGTAGTGCATTCTACTCATAGGTGGATTTTTTGTATTGGGCAGATGTGCAGAGATCAGAGATGCACACCTTTAGAGTGCTAGAATTTATTTCTTCTCATCCAGATTTTGCATTTTTATTTTTCATTTTAATTTACTTTCCAGATAATTCTGGTGTCTTAATTGTGAAGATCTTAGAAATATTTGAGGAGTGTACAATACAAGTTGCCATCTGCCAGCAGCTAGAACAGCCTCCTGCTACGCTTTCACCCGAGGATGCAGTCGTCAGTGCAGAAGAACCGATACTCAAAGTCCTCTTTACAAGAGAGACAGCAGCTCACCTCAAGAGCAGACCACAGGATGTCATCCACATCTATCCCCCGTGGTGAGTAGGAAGATTCGGCCACACTTGCTGTAGCACTCCAGAACCAAATGAAGTTGATAGAATTCTGGCTGCATTGTTGCAAGAAAGACCCTTGGGGGCAAGGGGGAAGCAGGACTCCCTTGTGGTCATCTGTCTCTGGCAGCTAGAGGGATTTGACAGATATCTTAAAGATGGGTCAGATAACTACATGTGTATCATAATGCCTCTAGTGTTGCTCAGGGCTTCAGTTGTGTTTTCACTAATATTTTCCTGTTTGGAGCACTAGGAAGGCCTGAGCAATGTCTTATCAATGATAAGGCCAATAAAGTGCATACTTTCTGGAAGCAAAGTAGTTCAGGAATGCTCATCTGTTGCTGTGAGTATGAGTATAATATTTCAGTGGGAAAGTCTGTATTAACTCTATAGCATTCGGTTCAGTTTTCAGTTCCCTGAATCCTTCTTCAGTGCAACCCTTTCTGGAATTCTTCAAAACGTTTGGTCTACATTTGTGATTTTTTTCTGAATTGGTTTACTTACCTGAATCTTATGGGGTAGCAAAAAGTGATGAGATTTCTAGTAAAGCAGCTAGTTCAAGGGAACTTCGAAGTGGGAATATTACTCCTCTTTTCACCCCTCTCCACACAAATGATGAAAATATTTTTCTTATGTATTTCAGCATTCATTACCTGAGTTCAGCTGCCTCTAGTGTTTGACCATATCCTTTGGCAAAATACTTTTTCCTGTTTTGCAAAAGCCTGCATCTGGTTTTTATCCTCATTGATAGCTGCAAATCTTTCTGAGTTCCCCAATTTGTAATCTTTAGTTTCTAAAATGTTGTTTAACTCTTTTTGGATGCAATTCAGAAATTAATGGAAGATACTTAATTTGTGGTTTATAATGGCTACAGATACAATTATTGATAGTTTAGATGTAAATAGATCAGTAGTGAAAGGAAATACAGTTTAATTCCTAGTCTGATATAATTATAAGTCACTGCTTTTTTTTTTTTCCTTCCTCCCGCCTCTAAGCTGTTTAGTTCTAATTTACCTTTTCCTTCAACGAGCTTCTTTTTATGCTTTATGTTTTCTTCTTGCTCTTACAAGCTTCTTTGTTCTGTTTTTCTCTTCAGGTTTCCTCTGATGTTTTTAAACCCCAAGTCATTGTATTTATGCTGCTTTGTCCTTCTGTGTAGACCTTAAGCTACACAAAGATTTTTGTACCAGAAGAAGTGTTTTAGTTAGGGTATGATTCAAACTGTTGTTTTCCTCCTCTTTTCTTTTTCTGAACAGTTGCTGTAGTATACTTAGTATGTGTAAGTCTCAGACTGCTCCAGCTTGTTTCACGTCTGCTCTGGTAAATCTGCACTGATAAAATTCTTTCCAGACTACAAACATCTGAACTGTACTAGTGTAGTCTTCTCATTGTTTAAATTTTAAGATGTTCTAGACATAAAATTAATTCCTATATACACGTAAACTGAGAATTCTTGAGAAAATTTCATAGCTGTGTTTCCAGAAATACCACCTTTTATTTACTTAATTTTTTATTATTATTATTATTATTATTATTATTATTTGGGGAGGGGTCTACCTTTCATTTAGGCAAAGGGTTATTTCATGAAACCAGAATGTTTGGACAGGGCATATATGAGAGTTGCTTTCCTTACCTATATGACTTGAAGGCACTTTTATAAAGACATCAGTTAATAGTGGAAAAACCACATTATACCTCTTCTTTAGCCCTATTTTCTATCGTTTCATAATTATTTTAATGTCAGTTGTCTCTTTGTTTACTCAACCAGAATTCAAAAGAAGTTGGGCTGGATACTGTTAAACTAAATCTACTGCAGGCGGAAAGGGGAGAGGGTGAGGGATGTTTTTGTTTTAGTTTATAATTTGGCCCTTTTAGTTTACATTAATTGGAAATTGGATGTGTACACTTAATGAAAGTTTCCTGTATCACGGTTCCAAGCTTCTATTCTCTTAAACTCTTACTTGAGAGCTCTGAATGCTGAAATGTAGTTTCTGTTACTCTGCCTTGAATTTGAATTTCTGTCATTCAAAACAAATACTGTTCATGTTAAAATACTTGTCTGTCAATTCAAATGTGTGACTAGGGTAAAAACAAATTAACTAAATCCAACCCTGACATGTTGAAATAAGCATATTTATGTGTCTCATTGATATCACCAGTCTGAAGCAAAAGGGAACAAAAAAAAAAAAAAAGTCAGTGCAAGGGGAGACAATGTTTGAATGACCTGCATGGTTTTGGGACACATAGCACCCTATGCGTCATTGTCCTGTATTTTGAGATACTTGTATGGTAAGATAGAACAGGATGAGATAGGGTGTTTTGTAAGTGGTCTGGTTCTGGTGCTATAAAGTAGTGTCCTGAGAGCAAAATTTTCCATTATCTTTAAAATAAAACCCCACAATTACATTCTGACTTTGCTTTTTGCTCTCTGACCAAGCAGCCAAGTGAGTAAAAATGTGGACAGACAGGCTGCTGGCTTCTGTGTGTGACTGTTTGTGAGCAAACTTTGAATGCATCATTCCGGAGCCTTTGTAAAATTAGATTTTGCTTTTCTAACTGTATTTGTATGTGCTGTGAACTTGGTGCCCAGCTTGGTATGTGAAACATCCCCAACAGTAGACTTTCATAAGTACTTTAGGAAGCAGTGTTTAGAGATGTGTTGATATTCTTGCTGGTATTTGTTTGTATACAGAATCCCATGAAACTTCAGTACTACAAGCAGTACAATACAAGCAATTTAATTAAAAGAATAAAATATTGTCAGGGGGCTGGTTATAAGAGTCTTACCAACCTGGACATTGCTAATGAGAGACGTCCCACTGGCTTTCAGAGAAGCTTTGTGTCAGAGCAAGCATTTGCAGGACTGAAACCAGATGTCTTTGTAACTAGATATGAATTTCTTCAGATCTAGTATCTTAAGGTACATATTTACAATCTTGAATGAGAGGTATTTGATGTGAGAATTGTCACTTGCTATAGGGAAAACAACTGCACTAGGGTGAGTAATGCTTTCAAACCGGCGTGTGTGGTGGAGGACGTAGCTCAGCTGCCTGGCCACTGAGACATCTGATGGGAGCCTGCTCTGATCTTGAGGCTATATGGAAGTATTAGTGCAGTGTTGTATCTAAATAAGGTCTATTAACTTGGACACATCACATGAAGACGGTTGTGTGGTTTGGGCTGGAGCTGGTTTGTGTCTGGCCAGCCAGGAACACAGCAGGCAAAAGAGCTCAGCCCTGCCTGCCCCTGCCTGCGTAGGCTTGCCTTGGGTTGTCTCTGCAGTACCTGAGCAATTCCTTGGATTAGGATTTTAAGTGAACACCTCATAATTTTTTGCAAACCGAATCTGAATCACTAAGTGCTTTTAACAGTTGGAAAAGAAAAAGTCTGTTACTGAGTTTAATTAAATTGATTACTAAGTCTTTATTCACTTTGCAGAAATACATATCCAGCAAAAAGTAAAGACTGTTAGTGCAAAGACATGAGAGAACAGGAACAAAGGCTTCCACTGTTTTACTGGTGATTTTATGGCTTCAATTTACCTGGGGTTTTTCGTTTAATTTTAAAAACTATAGAAATAATTTACCATACCTAACAGAAAGTGGTAAGAGTTGGCATCTTTAGAGACTTCAGGATTCATTTTACTGCTGACACCAAGACTTGGGGATTGACAGTTTCCTTTAGATACTCCTGCCTCTTGCTCATAGATATGCCCACTGTTGAATATTCAAGATAAATTAACGTGAAGAAAATGGTGCTGGTTAGAAGCCTTTTCCTTGCCATTAAATTTAACAACTTAGAAATGTTTTTCCTGTATTTCTGAAGTTAAACCGCTAGATGTAAGTGATATTAATACAGTTCTTGGCCACAGAAGTATAAACCACAGATCATGTTTGATTTGGACAGGATCAGAGATTGATCCACACCTACTGAATGTGAATGTCTGGTATGAAGCCTTTAGTTCAGGAGGTTCACATGGTGCTGATAACTGGAGGCTGAGATAGCATAAAGGGGACAGAACCACTTTGTGTTTTGTTCCTACACTGCCTGTAAACACTGCAGAAGACAAGCTCCTTGGCTGGATAGCCGCTATTCCCTGTGCAACTTCTCCGAGACAGTTTATTTTAAGAACTCTGTATGGCAAGTATATAAAACACTTAAATCTGTGACATCAACAAGCAACTTCAAAGTTGTTCTTTAGTTTCTCTTAACCTGTGAAACCACGGGGAGTCATAATTACTCAGCTTTGAAAGTGTTCCAGTGCCTGGAGAAAGTGTTTAATAGAGACTTTTCATTTCTATTTGCATAGCACTAAATTTGGTCTCTCCTCAGTGAGATTTAGAAGAGTTTGAACTATTTACTGCCAAAAAGAGCTCCTACAAAACCTTGCTGCAGATCAACTGATGTGCAGGGATGAAACCTTATATCCCAAGTCCTTTAATGCAAACCAGTGATGGAAGTTGCTGTAGAAATATGCAAGCAAGCTCTGAGCAAATTCGTGTTCAAGAAGCAATCTGGCTTTGTGGATTTAGGTATTCTTGTACTTTAGAATTATCCTGGTTATGCTGTAGGCTGTTTTGTTGACTCCCCAGCAGGATTTATGATAAATTGATATATTACTGTGATTTTTGTGTTGTCTTACTTAATACAATGTCTTACATTGCATAGTCTTACATCATCTGGATGAGCAACAGCAGAACCAACACAGGGAACTAACGTGAAATAGGTGTTTTGAGCTAGCATGGCTCATGTTAAAGAGTGTTTGACTTCCAGTTGATGGAGACTTTTTATCACTGTTGTCTCACCAAACAAGGGAGGCATTGTTACAGAATACCTGTCACAAGAAAGATCATGTGAAAGCAGGATCTATGCTTCACATATTAATGAAATGACCTCCTGCTGCTCTGTAAGGAAAGCATCTATATCCTTTAAAATTTTCCCATTCCATAAAGGTAAAATACAAGTAAGAATTAAATTCATGTATAGAA